TCGTCATGACATATTTCAGGAGTGCACATGTACTTAGCCTTCTGTTCTGTCATGACATATTTCAGGAGTGCACATGTACTTAGCCTTCTGTTCTGTCATGACATATTTCAGGAGTGCAGATGTACTTAGCCTTCTATTTCGTCACGACATATTTCAGAAGTACACATGTACTTGGCCTTCTTTATCGTCATGACATATTTCAGGAGTGCACATGTACTTAGCCTTCTGTTCTGTCATGACATATTCCAGGATTTCAGAAAGCATAATAACCTGAGAATTTCGAGAATGAGCAGCAGAGTAATGAGAAAGAAGTTAGTGATGTTAGGACGGATTACGATAAGGTAAAGTTTAACCACCTGGATACACCTCTACAACAAAGCAGCCTTATATCAACCTCTATAAACCTACAATAGTTTAAATCTGAATCATTGAATAAAAAAAATAAAAAAATGCAACTTTTAAACTTACAACTGAGCTGAGGATTTTCTACAAAAATTGATGAAACAGTTAGTGTTTTATAATTTCTGTCTATTGAGACATCTCTGGATATCAAAGGAGAGGGGAAGGATTTACAAATCACTTCGACAGGCATACAGTTCTCACGTAATGATTAACTAAAAGCACAAATACATCATGTTTATTATTCTTCTTTTTTAAAATTGTCACTATTGACTTTCTTTTGTAAACATTTTCACAAATTTTTACTGGCATCGCATAACCAGGACCTTAAATGTCAATTTCTGAGATATTAAATTTTTCTAGCTAAACATCTCATTCTGTATAAAAAACACTTTAACGGTTGAATTTTGTCTTTGAGAAGAAAAAAATCAGTGAGGTTAACTCAATTTCAAGACAAATTCTATAAAAATATTATCATGTAAAACACAAGATTTTTCCAAATTTTGTGAGTTTGCCGGCCCTCATCAGTTGGAAAACGCCACTATATATGAGCAAACTGGAAAGTTAGTAATAACATTCGGAACTACTGTATAGCAGGTTATTTCAGGGGGGATGATATTTTCACGATTTCGCGGGTCAATACTGTGATCGTGAAAATATGATCCATAGAATAATATGACAAGAGAAATAATGAGCGGCGATAACGAAACATCATAACTGTAATGTCTTCATGAAATAACTAGTATGTGGTTGTAACGATTGATTAACGTCAAGAGTAATACAAGATGTTTGAAAAATAGATTATATCACACATGGAATAGTTTTTTCGAAGATTTGTTTAACAAAATACACTTACTTGTTGTGGCTCAATATGCTGTAATAAAGCGTATTCGGTTGACTATTTGAAATTTTATATGCCGAGTGTCCCGTCTCTGTGCTAACTAAGACACCGCAAAAATCTAGTTCATTCACATGTCATGATTGAGAAATTATAATCCATGTAAATTTAGTTTTGTAATTTTCGGTCATAATCGTGAACTTGTTAAGCCCACGTAAATAACCCGTTATACGGTAGGAAGAACCAGGGACTATAGCTTTTCCACACTCCTATATCCTAGTAATTTGCGGATTCCTTGATGACTACTGTCGAAAACTGTTACTATGCCATAGGAAACTGCTTTTTTTTTATATGACTATTACTTTGTTAAATCATTTCTGAAATGAAAAGCATACTTTGTGGGACTTTTATGAAGAAAATAAAGATAAAATAAAAATAAAAAATAAATAATCACCAACAGTGTTCTAATTGTAAAAATTCAGTGGGGCAAGGCGTGAATCCGAACCATGGCCGACCTCAGACTGTTACACTGTTGTTCTAAATGGAAACGGCCAAGCCCAATAGCACTACACTACAGTTACATACAAAACGAAATAAGGGGAGATAACTGTATCTTCGAAAAGTTGCAGTGGAATTTTCTAATGTTTTCCCTGCAGTGGGACAGGGATCCTATTAAGTGAAGCTATCTTTACAAAACTCATCTCTCATCAATTAACACTGAGGTACAGAACGATGATTGTGAGTAAGATACTATATAATACTGTAAGGTTTACCTGGCCAGAGGATTCCATCTTAATTACCAGGGGACCGGAACCCCTCAGAGACAGGAAGCTGAAGTGAAGGTTTGACCCCTCACAGGTAAGGTCATCTTGTAATAGGAAGTTCTGGTTTATCCACAGCAACACCTGGAGTTAACAAAGTCCAAAGGTATTAAAAGTCTTGTTTACTTCACCATTATCTAGCAAAATTTTAAACAAGCCATTCAGATTGATATGTCTCGCCTGTGCCCCGATTTGACCATCAATGCACATGTCAATTTTGGTTGGTCTAGCACTTATAGTTTCAGAGAAACTTCCTCAAACGCAAAACAAAATGTTGATGGATGATGGAGATGTTGACAAAGTCAATGGACCATGAAAGGTAGGCCACATCCAGCATTTGATGCATGGGTTGTGATGCTCTACCTAATTAAGATGCATCTATCATCCAAGTTGGGTTGGTCTAGCACTTATACTTTCAGTGAAACTAGCTTAAACGCAAAAACTAAATGTTGACGCCGCCATCGCCGGAGACGAAACATCTTAGTCTTGCTTCTGCTAGTGCATGGAGGCGAGACAAAAATTGAAGTAAAAAGTGTTTATTTTGGGTGGATCAACTTTACAAATTTTGTCAGTGTTACTGTTATGACATTCTACAGTTAATTAAGTCATAAAAACATTTTATTTATTAAGCATAAAACATTGGATCTATTGCAGTACCATACTTTGGGATATTTTGGATGTGGTTATATTTTGGTTAATCTGGCTCTTGGAGTGAATGAGCCAAAATTTAAAACACAAAACATTTCATGATGCCAAAACATATCGTCCCAACATCGGGATATCGGCAGACCATCCTCCAACTCAATTATTATGCATCAATTACTGGCTATATTTTTCATGTCAGCGAAAGTTGGAATGGCTTGATTTTTAGGCAGGACTGATGGAGCAACTTCATAACTATAGGTATTGTAAAGTACCAAAATTTAGCACACAGGATTGTCAAGCGCCAAAATTTTGACACAAAATCTTAACCACCTTATTTTGAGCAAAAAAAGCCAAATTTTGGCAATGCTTACATATCCCAAAGTCGGTATTTCATTCATACAATAGCTTACTCCTTCACTAGCTTAAAGTTCTTGCAGGATTTTTTAAATCTTAGATTAAGTAGTGTTAATGCTTTGCCGATCAACCATACTGAAAGTTGTAAATGGATGATAAGATATGCAAAAATGTTTAATGTATTAGTTAATAATACCTGGTCAATTAAATAATCGGTGAATAGAAAACAAAGGTAAAATTTAATTCAGTTGGCCTTACCCTGGCCACGCGGTCATTGACCGTGAATGTACAGGAACTCTTCGGCTCCTGGTCTGGGTTGTTCTTTATTGGTGTGTACATTGAGAATCTTGGCAACTGGCGCGTCAGCTCAAAAACGTGGAACTGGATGCTGAAACCGATGTTAGAAACAGTCAGAAAAAAACCCAGAGTTAATTACAAGAATGCAGAACATGTCAAATTTTAGAACACAGGATAAGTCAAAGGTCAAAAGTGTAAAACTCATCATCAAACAGTTATGTATTTAGTGGAAAGTGTTATGATACAATTTAGACTTGCAGCCAACAAGTTACCTGGAATTGCAGCCAATGAGACCGCTTACTTAGACTTGTAGCCAATGAGACAGCTTACTTAGACTTGCAGCTAATGAGACAACTTACTTAGACTTGCAGCCAGTGAGACAGCTTACTTAGACTTGCAGCTAATGAGACAGCTTATTTAGACTTGCAGCCAGTGAGACAGCTTACTTAGACTTGCAGCCAATGAGACAGCTTACTAAGACTTGCAGCTAATGAGACAGCTTATTTAGACTTGCAGCCAATGAGACAGCTTACTTTGACTTGCAGCTAATGAGACAGCTTACTTAGACTTGCAGCCAGTGAGACAGCTTACTTAGACTTGCAGCTAATGAGACAGCTTACTTGGACTTGCAGCCAGTGAGACAGTTTACTTAGACTTGCAGCAAATGAGACAGCTTACTTAGACGTGCAGCTAATGAGACAGCTTACTTAGACTTGCAGCTAATGAGACAGCTTACTTAGCCTTGCAGCCAATGAGACAGCTTACTTAAACTTGCAGCAAATGAGACAGCTTACTTAGCCTTGCAGCCAATGAGACAGGTAACCTGGATTTGTAGCCAATGAGACAGCCTATTTAGACTTGCAGCTAATGAGACAGCTTACTTAGACTTGCAGCCAATGAGACAGCTTACTTAGACTTGCAGCCAATCAGACAGCTTACTTAGACTTGCAGCCAATGAGACAGCTTACCTGGACTTGTAGCCGACAAAAGCCTTGATGTGGAGGTCAACTGGTACATCTTTAGGGGGCTGGATCGAAACCTTCACGCTGTTTGACAGCTGGGCGGAAGCAGGATGTCTGAAGAAAAAAACAAAGTTAGTAATATTACAAACAGATGACAAAAGAATGGGGGTACTTTTCTCGTTTATCTGTGGGATATAAAAGTCTTATTTAAGTAATGTATGTGCCTTAGAATGGTGGGAGATACATGCATATGATGCATATATTTGTTATCAACACCACATGTGGATTTAGAACAGATGAGCTTGACACCACATGTGGATTTAGTATAGATGAGCTAGCAGCATTTGTTACTAACACCACATGTGGATTTAGAACAGATGAGCTTGACACCACATGTGGATTTAGAATAGATGAGCTAGCAGCATTTGTTACTAACACCACATGAGGATTTCGAACAGAGAAGCTTGCAGCATTTGTTACTAACACCACATGTGGATTTAGAACAGAGGAGCTTGCAGCATTTGTTACTAACATCACATGTGGATTTAGAACAGATGAGCTTGCAGCATTTGTCACTAACCTCACATATGGATTGAGAACAGATGAGCTTGCAGCATTTGTTACTAACACCACATGTGGATTTAGAACAGAGGAGCTTGCAGCATTTGTTACTTACACCACATCTGGATTAAAACAGATGAGCTTGCAGCATTTGTCACTAACCTCACATGTGGATTTAGAACAGATGAGCTTGCAGCATTTGTTACTAACACCACATGTGGATTTAGAACAGATGAGCTAGCAGCATTTGTTACTAACACCACAAGTGGATTTAGAACAGATGAGCTTGCAGCATTTGTCACTAACCTCACATGTGTATTAAGAACAGATGAGCTAGCAGCATTTGTCACTAACCTTACATGTGGATTTAGAACAGAGGAGCTTGCAGCATTTGCCACTAACCTGACATGTGGATTTAGAACAGTGGAGCTTCCGGATGAGCTTGCAGCATTTTTTACCAACATCAATTATGGATACATAGAATTGACAAGCTTTGATGAGCTTGCAGCATTTGTCATTAACCTCACATCCGGATTTAGAACAGATGAGCTTGCAGCATTTGTCACTAACCTCACATGTGGATTAAGAACAGATGAGCTAGCAGCATTTGTCACTAACCTTACATGTGGATTTAGAACAGAGGAGCTTGCAGCATTTGCCACTAACCTTACATGTGGATTTAGAACAGTGGAGCTTCTGGATGAGCTTGCAGCATTTTTTACCAACATCAATTATGGATACATAGAATTGACAAGCTTTGATGAGCTTGCAGCATTTGTCATTAACCTCACATCCGGATTTAGAACAGATGAGCTTGCAGCATTTGTTATTAACACCACAAGTGGATTTAGAACAGATGAGCTTGCAGCATTTGTCACTAACCTCACATGTGGATTAAGAACAGATGAGCTAGCAGCATTTGTCACTAACCTTACATGTGGATTTAGAACAGAGGAGCTTGCAGCATTTGCCACTAACCTTACATGTGGATTTAGAACAGTGGAGCTTCTGGATGAGCTTGCAGCATTTTTTACCAACATCAATTATGGATACATAGAATTGACAAGCTTTGATGAGCTTGCAGCATTTGTCATTAACCTCACATCCGGATTTAGAACAGATGAGCTTGCAGCATTTGTTATTAACACCACAAGTGGATTTAGAACAGATGAGCTTGCAGCATTTGTCACTAACCTCACATGTGGATTAAGAACAGATGAGCTAGCAGCATTTGTCACTAACCTTACATGTGGATTTAGAACAGAGGAGCTTGCAGCATTTGCCACTAACCTTACATGTGGATTTAGAACAGTGGAGCTTCTGGATGAGCTTGCAGCATTTTTTACCAACATCAATTATGGATACATAGAATTGACAAGCTTTGATGAGCTTGCAGCATTTGTCATTAACCTCACATCCGGATTTAGAACAGATGAGCTTGCAGCATTTGTTATTAACACCACAAGTGGATTTAGAACAGATGAGCTTGCAGCATTTGTCACTAACCTCACATGTGGATTAAGAACAGATGAGCTAGCAGCATTTGTCACTAACCTTACATGTGGATTTAGAACAGAGGAGCTTGCAGCATTTGCCACTAACCTTACATGTGGATTTAGAACAGTGGAGCTTCTGGATGAGCTTGCAGCATTTTTTACCAACATCAATTATGGATACATAGAATTGACAAGCTTTGATGAGCTTGCAGCATTTGTCATTAACCTCACATCCGGATTTAGAACAGATGAGCTTGCAGCATTTGTTATTAACACCACAAGTGGATTTAGAACAGATGAGCTTGCAGCATTTGTCACTAACCTCACATGTGGATTAAGAACAGATGAGCTAGCAGCATTTGTCACTAACCTTACATGTGGATTTAGAACAGAGGAGCTTGCAGCATTTGCCACTAACCTTACATGTGGATTTAGAACAGTGGAGCTTCTGGATGAGCTTGCAGCATTTTTTACCAACATCAATTATGGATACATAGAATTGACAAGCTTTGATGAGCTTGCAGCATTTGTCATTAACCTCACATCCGGATTTAGAACAGATGAGCTTGCAGCATTTGTTATTAACACCACAAGTGGATTTAGAACAGATGAGCTTGCAGCATTTGTCACTAACCTCACATGTGGATTAAGAACAGATGAGCTAGCAGCATTTGTCACTAACCTTACATGTGGATTTAGAACAGAGGAGCTTGCAGCATTTGCCACTAACCTTACATGTGGATTTAGAACAGTGGAGCTTCTGGATGAGCTTGCAGCATTTTTTACCAACATCAATTATGGATACATAGAATTGACAAGCTTGATGCAATTGTAACTATCATCTGCTACTTACATAACATGACTTTCTCCTTCAAAAATTCCTTCAGCAAATATCAATACCGCTTTGATGGCAGTGTCTGTGGGATAAAAATATTTATTTAGATATATAATGTAAATATACTCCTCTGTGTTTTTTTTAACATCACTTTATAAATTTTGACACATTGTTATCAAGTTCATGACTGTGTTTTACTGATTAATTAACTACTGATAATGATAATAATTTCTTTATAAACATCTCAACAACAGGCAATATGATACATAAAAGAAATTGGTGATAATTAGAATATGATAAACCTCCAGATAGTTCAAATATACTAAGGTGGAAAGTTTTAAAATGGAAACGTTAATTTTCCACCCCACGATACATCAATCATTGCAGGATCGCTTCTTTTTAATCACGTTTTGTATCGTTAAAACAGATAAAAGTTTGAGTACAAAAAATCTGGGAATTATAATTATACTGAGGTTTGAGTTTGATTATCTTCATTCAAATTGTTCAACCTGATAATAATGCCATATTTCATTTATATTTAAACAAGTGCAACAATAATCATTTTGTTTGAACTAACCAGAGGTTAACCATACCTCCTTTTATCACTATGCTTCCCAGTGACTTTCCCAAAGCAGCATTACTTTAAATAATAATAAAAATAATAATAATTTGAGGTTCTTGTATATCGCTTGATCACAACCTAGTTCGTAGGTCGTCTCAAAGTGGTTCACAAATTATTATCCATGGTTATAGGGCCTTAGCAACCAGCCAATATCTTGCTCAACTCCCTGGAGAGCATACAGCTGGTGCTGCCGTATCGGCGCTCACAGCTAGCATTCAACAATTCTAGCACTGCCCAACCAGGTACTCATTTACAGCTGAGAAGACTGGAACAAGCGGCGTGAAGGATCTTGTTCAAAGATATAACACAGTGCCATGGCGTGACCGCAACCCTCCGGTCACGAGCCCGGTGTTCTACCACTGGACTACCGTGCCTCCCAAAAGTAAGTCCCCATATAATGTCAATGTACTTACCGTTTGTTGTTCCTATGAATAATTCTACATGCGGCTGAAATGTAAACAGAAAGCTGTCATCACTTTAGAATATTAACAATTCATCTGCAATCAAACGGCTCTCCATTTTATCTTCAGCAGGTGGAAGCATTTATAAAACAAATTTCCATTAGAAGTCACAAACGATAAATCCGAACTATATTGTTCAAATACATCTTATACTAAATTATTTATCATCTACTTGTCCATGATAAGGGTTGTATGCGTGTGTGAAACTACTAGCTGTGCATAAGCCATATCCTGGACCGACCCCATATCCACCCGGCATGGGCCATATCCACCCAGCATGGGCCATATCTGCCTGTCATGCGCCAACACTTCATAAATCACACCTCAGACTGGTAGTGTACACACTGTATATCCATCTGTATTTACTATTCTGTTCATCGTGTTTTATTTAAGGTAGAATGTGATTTATATTTATTATGAAATATAAACTTTCTGCAAGTTTTATGTATTTATTGCTAACAATTTTGATGTTATAGAGCAGTATGTGATAAAAAGGTAATCATGTGACCATTTCCATATCCTACTTCATATCAGCCCAAGAATCCCATACCAGGCTAGAGTCAGAGGCCGGAGGGCTGATACGGAGTAGGATATGGAAATGATCATATGATAGTTTCTAAACATTTTCACATTATATCATAAATGTTTAACAGAACTAAGATGGTGTTATAACTGTTAGTGTTAGGCCTACAACATGAGGCTCACAATGGGGGCGATCATACTCACTGGTTTGCCCTCTTCGCCCGTGTTAACCCTCAGCGTTGTTTGAAGCTGAGTGGCCGCCTGGAAAGGTCAAAGGTCAGTCTTATAATATTGTACTGCATACAGCATATATGAGTTATGTTATAAAGTTTCCATTATGATTTGATAAAAACATACTTTGTACAGCATAGAATACTGCAAACTAGGAAACTTCAGCCAGGTTGAAGTCTTACCCTTCACTGATCAATACAATACATGTCCACCCAGTGTTCGTTAGGCCCTTTTTATGTAACTGCTATGTATAGTACTATGCATACTATTATTCTGTGTCATGGTAATAATGCCCTCATTGCGGAGGGCAAAAAAGATGAAAGTTGATTTGTAGTGAAAATTTTCAAGTTTACAGTGTATATCAAATTTACGGGATTTTTCGTATCAAATCTGAACCCTTTTACCACTGCATACCAGAATGGCCTCATCCAGATAAATGTATGGTACCAGAATGGCCTCATCCAGATAAATGTATGGTAGAGTCTACTAAAGTCACCCAGGGGTGAAAGGGTTAAAGATGCTTATAAACTAGATTTTTTTCCTACAAGACAAAAACATGCCACTGCTGCCATGTAAAATTGGTTTCATAGTTTAAATGTTTTTTTGAATTGTAACATGACATGACCTTGGCACCCTGAAATAAGAACTCATCCGCAGCATTTTTAAATGTGACTTTTGTGTGAGAAACACACCGAGTCCGTATATATCAGGAAACACCTCGATAGACATGGGATTCCCCCATCTCCGCCCCTATAAAATGGCAAGGCATAAACAATAGAAGCGTTTTAACCATTTATTGAGATAACGACATTATATACGTACAGGAATAACTCCCATTTTCTGAGCATCATATTCTCCAGGAGGGAATGGTCTTTCAGCTGAGAATCTGGCTGCAACACTTCCCACACCTCCACCCCCTCCGTACCCACCACCTTCTCCAACTCCTCCTTGCCCCCCTGGGCCACCTCCTCCAACACTTCCTGGTCCTCCAGTACCTCCCATGCCACCTCCCGCTCCACCCATGCCTCCTCCAGCACCTCCCGCTCCACCTATGCTGCCTCCAGGGCCTCCTCCGCCAGCTCCAGCTCCACCCATGCTTCCTCCAGCACTTCCCACACCGCCCCCTGCACCACCCATGCCACCTCCAGCGCCTCCCACGCCACCTCCCGCTCCACTCATGCCACCTGGTCCGGCTGCTCCCATACCACCACTTCCACCAATGCCACCACTGCTACTGCTGCTGTAGCCACGGGAGGCCGCATTGGTTGCCAGGGCAGCAGCAGCCACAGCTCCCGCCTTTGTGTTCTCATCATAGTTTTTCAGCTCCATCATCAGGTTCTATCAATGCGAAGCACATGAGTGAATTTAGACCACTATCTACACAGGCAATTGTTTATACAGTTTATATATGTGATATACACAACACGTGAAAAATCACTGTGTTTAGTGTCCACGCACGGTGCACACAACTCTATGAAAAACTGATTGCTTGGTCCATTGAGCACTGATGTTTGCACAACTATGCTATTTGGTATGATTGGCAGCCAGGTGCATACCTGCCTGTATGCTGGTACGCAGGTGAATCAACAAAAAATAAAAATTCTTCTTACACCCACTTGTCCCCGTACCAAGTCCCTGCCCTAGACCCACTCCTAAATGAATCCACTCCAAACAAAGGCTAGCTAAGCCCCTGGATGCTTAATATTACAGAATGGAAAAATGTGGAATACTTGTGGATGGGTATATTTTGCATTATATCCAATTTTACAATAAACCTTCCACAGTATTACAATGACTGTTAAACTGTCAAAGATGGAGTCGGACTCTCAGGTACCAGAACAGTCTGTAGATAACACTATCTGGTGATATTCATCTCCAGTAAACTCCCGATGAAGTTGTTATATGTATAATCATGAGAATAAATCCCCGATGTTTACCTGTTTACGAAGACTAAGGTCACGGATCGTTTCTTGTTCCATGTTAGCGTCCATCAGGTTTCCTCTCATTTCAACTGGAGCCGGGTTGTATCCCTTAACTGAAACATCCGGCAATGTTAAAGTATACGGAGAAATTGGCAATATGAAACAAATATGTTAAATTGTATGTCAAATGTCATACTACCGTAAATTTGCAGGTATAGTGCACACTCGGGTATAGTGTGCAGGTATGTTTTGGGGTCAGATTTGAAGAAAAAAAAATGTTGAATTTTTTTACCAAATGCAGTGGTTTTTTTCTGACAATTTATACACAAGTTCTATCTTTTTTTTTAAAGAATTGCACATAACTCAACAATATAACAATCAAGGACTTTTATATTTTGGTGAATATGTGGTTATATGGACCTAAAAAAGCGAAACTGACCTCAAATTGGTCTCGGTCAATATGTGTTTCTCAGGTCCATATAAACACATATGCGCCTCAACAAAAGTTCATAATTGATGATTGATGTTTCATGCCTAATCATGTTTCAACTGATCTTAATTACTAGAGACAAGTAATCATTCCAACAAAGTAGATGTCAAACCCTACGTACCTTCCCCTTCAGCGGACACGCAGATCAGCTGTTGTGAGCCGTCCAGACGGTAGTCGCCCTGTAGCCGAAAGCTAAGTTAATATTGTAGGAATGGCACCAACATTGCACATATACCGTAATATCGGCACAAGCAGAATGTATAAACTCGACTAATTTTTTTTTTAAATATGACCAGTAAATGGAGAAATCAGTTTTCTGCATTTATTACAATTAATTGACACAAGTCTGATGATTTTATAAAAGTATCTTCAATTTTTTAATCATGCTTCAACACTTCGTATTTTACAGTATGAATTTCATAGAAGTTAATTATAAGGAACGGTTACACCAATAAGCCCATGTAATTGATTAATAAGGTGCCATTTTATAAATAAACCCATGCAAGTTATAATTACAAGCCCTCCATTTGTATTTAATTTTATGTAAGTTTCGCATCTGTCTTTATAAACCTGAGGTAGAGTCAAAATTAGAAGAAAAAAAATAACTCAGTCGCCACCAGAGATAATTATACGTAAAATGAAGTATGTCATAAAAATTGTGTTCCTTACAGGCCAAAGCTATCTACAGAGATAGGTAAATTAACTAATTCCAGCTTTTTAATAATAATGTGTAACAGAGGTCATTATTTTTTTCAATGCCTCCGCTAGGAGTCGAACCTGGGACCTCTAGTTTACTATAGTCTTATGCTCTACCAAATGAGCTAGAGAGAAATTCTCCCTAGCAGAGTCGATGGGAAGTGGCTAGTATTTTACCAGGTTGACACAATATTCTCTGCGTCTGTTTTCCAGAGGTTATAGCTACCTTACACATTAAACATGTGTTTTTAAAATATGTGTTAAAATTTATTTCCCTTGAGTTCTTTTTATTATTTTTCCAATTGTATGAAGCTTTTTACTTTTTCAACATGTTCTTCTCATGAAATAAATGATACACAAACAAATTCTCACAAAGTCACAATTAGTTTCAAAACAAATCTTTTCACATTATTATTAAACCAAGCAAGCCCAACTAGAACTCCTTTTTTTTGTAAACAGATGCATATTTGTCAACTTTTAAAAAATTTCCAGGGGGGAGATTCTGCATGCTCAAAAGTAAAACATAAATATAATGTGTGTATTACCCCCTTGTGACATAATAACCTTTGAAAATGACATATTTTGAGTTGTTCTTTTAGATGAAAACAATAGATCTTAGAATATAGGGATAGTTAAGATATTTCACTGGTTGAAAATACTAAAATTAAGGGTCCAAAATCGGGAGTCTCCATCCTAAATAGGGAGAGTTGGCAAGTATGAGTATGTTTCAAGTGACTTGTATTGATTACCATATGAGGTACGTGAAGGTCACACAAGGTCACATTGAAGACTTCCCGACTCGGTTTTTACCTGAACAATGCCTGCCACTGGGTGGTTGAACGTGTCTTTGTAGATCACTTCTCCTGTTCTGTCGCTCCGTACATCAATCTTAAACGAAGAACAATTCAGATCTACACTGTCCTCCTCAAAATGATTTGATATTAAACATAATACATAATACACAAAAGTAAATATAACCAAATTATGTAAAATCACTATTATTATTTGATTCTCAAAGGCCATTCAACACAACCGGGACGAATATATACGTCCGCGCAATAAATGAGTACTGTCTAATTCGTTAGATAAACACAAGTGTGTGGTCTTGCTTTTATCACATACCTTCCGTATTTGGTAGAGATTGATACGAAGATTTTATAAACTTTGATATTTTTGGCAAATACCCGGAACTTTTCAGTTCGCCATGACAAGGGGATTCCCATAAAAAGTAGTTCCGGCTATTAGGTAAATACAACATTCCGTATTGCACATGTGCAATACAGAACATTGTATTTCATGGTCTGAAAATTGCTTGTATAACTATAACAAGATTCAACAGGTATGTAATAAAGTTCTATACATTTTAACACACAAAGTATTTTGGGGTGTAAAATTTATGTTGAAGTTATCTTCTCCAAAAAAAAGCATCCCTAAGATTGCGAAACTGTGCCATACTCTGTTTCGCTTACAATGTGTTTCAGCAATAACATTGCTTAAATTATAAAGTGATAAATCAGCTACCTTGCCGTTACTCCAGCCCGTAATCAGCTCGGTCACCCCATCTGAGTCGAGGTCAAAGCTGTGGATTGCCAGAGCTTGATTCTTAGACTGAAAATCAAACAGTACATGTCCTAAAAAGTCAAGTGATATAGATTTGACCGCCCCGCTACATATATCTCTCACACCTAAATTTATAATTGACAATCTATATGTCATAATCCCTACCTGATGTGATATGCCATGTGTGTGGGTTTTTTTCAGTCTATATTGACTCTCTAAAGAAACCTGTTTATAGTGACACATGTCTACAAAGACCCTTCTATAATGTTTTCTGTTTAAAGTGACCCCCTGCCTAAAGCAACATTATCTGTAAGTAAAATGTCTACAAAAACAATTTTCTATTCCACAAAATTATTTCATTTTTTTTGGGGGGGGGGGAATGTAAAATAAATTCTCCAAAATCTAAACATTTTTATTGTACATATGTTTTGTCATTTATGTGAAATATTAGTTCATGCAGTATTGAATTTCATCATTTTTTTAAAGTATGAAGACTGCAAAACCTTTCCACAAAATTTAACCTAAATACAGTTACCAATTTTTTTCAGCTCTAAAAGCCACAACAGCTTCGATTCAACGAGCTCAAATGATGAGATCTATTTCACTGAAGATGATTGGCAATTTAATTCATAATTTGAAGAAAAAAAGCAACACGACAATAACTTTGATGAAATGTACTAGGTAAGTGAGGGTCCCAGTGCATACCTTGATCCTCCAGTAACGTGACGACCTGTCATACACGCCCACTGTGCCGTTCGCCAGGGTGTATCCAAACCTGCTCTCCATCATGGGGCACAAACAGGTGATGGCCTACAAAGGGAGGTAATCACACAATTCATATTTAATTCTGATGTCGGCTTAGGTTTTATATTGTTGTTCATTGGTGGCTTCACATTACTGGTTTAGGAATAAGAATTAAGATGCACATCAAAAGTAATTAAGCAGGGAATTTCTAAATTGTAAGCAACTGTTTCATACTATTAATTTGGACACACAATTAATTCATTTTTATCTCTTGTTTTTTCAATGAAAACAAAAAACACATTCAATCCTATTTTGTTTATATCAGAAATAGTGTTACCTCAGTTTCGGTCATTTCCGCTAGAATCTCATCTTCTTTAAAGACACGGATGTCAAAATCTTCTGATCCAACGACAAGCTACATAAAGTAAACAATGCATCTAAATTATACAGTCAAACCTATTCATGCAACCACCTCTATTAAGAGACCACCTGTGTTAACGAGAACACTTTTAATATTCCCGAATGTAAAGATTTCTAAGAGACTATTTTTTAGATAACCTAAGAGCGATATTCTTATCCAGGTTATCAGCTGATCATGACAAGCTTGTATTGTTTCTCAACATTTTCTTTAGGTTGGTAAGTATGAATTGTAGAAAGGTTATGTATCACAACCATTAAGTGTTTATGTGTGAGGTTTCGATGACTAGTACAACATGTACCCTGTCACCTTCTTCACAACTAGTTAAGTCTTAATGCGTGACGATTTGGTGACTACTATGATATGTACATTGTTATCTTCGTCACAACCAGTAAGTGTCGATGTCTGACATTTCGATGACTTGTACAATACGTACCATGTCACCTCCATAACCTTTCTACAATGTTTGTGCTGTTTATAGCACTATAATAATTTTCTTTTTTTTCTCTTAGAATTTCAATATTCATGATAATATCATCGATGGATATTTGATTATGTTGTGTCATTTAGCTAGTTTGTATCATGGAGGATCCTCACCTCATTTTGTCCGTCACTGCTGAAGTCGACCAATGCCAGAGAACACACGTTGTCGCCAGTCACCTAATGAAGAAAGAAAACACACAGTAATTAGTATGACTATCCCTTTTTCTATTATCTCCCATTAGTTTGTATAACCATATCTGTCAACCACCCCACATTATGAGGAAAACTTCCGCAATTTGACCAAAATTTACGTTACTCCCTTCCCAAAAACCTTCATTCAAATCTTAGCCAACACAATTAAAATCTACATCCTGGGGTTTAAAATGATCTCTCAGTTACTGCTGAATATTTATAATAAATGTGACAGGTGTTTATAGAAAATATTAAATTTAGAGTTAAGCAGACATGTTTTATAGACTTTCTCCCTCATTTGAGATGTAGCATGAAGGAGGTTCCACAGGTTGACATCTATTGTGTAAAAGTCTAGCTGATTCCTATCCAAACTAATACCATTTTGACCTAGGCTACTCTCTGGCGGCGTCATGATTCACTGCGAAGCACTTGTACCGCGATTATTTATGTTATATTCGATTCACGATATATTTTCCGGATTTTCGATACGTCACGATCAGAATATTAGTGTATGCCGTTTCAGCCGAAATGTCTGTGAGACGTTCAATTTCATTGACAGATCTCTAAACCCTCAGCCAATCGGCTGCGAGGATGCAATTTTCACAAAGCATTCATAACACAATGGTGGACCACGGTAAGGAAATGAAAATATGTGATGCTCCGGCAAGCTTCAAATCGGAAGTGTGGAAACACTTCAGGTTTCCGTTTATCGACCGCTTATGTATCTCATTTTGTTTATATTTTAAAATAAAGGTGTATCGAATCGAAATAATCGAATCGTGGTACAAATATCGAGATACGTATCGAATCGTGGGTAAAGTGTATCGTGACAGCTCTACTACTCCCTACAGCCATCATCTGTTTACTAAATGTAGATCCTGAAAAGCTTGGTTGTTATATTTTTAAGTACAGCTCAGAAATACGGTAATCGTACATATCTTAGCAGTGGTCTTATCTTTAGCACATTTTGTGTGTAAAACATCGCGCTAAATTAGGAATGGGCCAATTGAAGCTCTAGCACACTATTTCTCTATTGCATATATTATCTTAATGCGCCGATTTAAAAAAAATGCACTAATCTATTAAAATTTGATAATGTGCTAAAATTTGAGTATGAAATCCTCATGTTCCTGATCCTCCCAAAGCTTTTGGGGATGTAACTGTTGAAATTCTCATGTGTGGAAAGATTTGTGTCCTGACTGTTTATTTTGTATTGGCAGTAGTTCTGAAATCTAAATATACTTTATACCTTTAATATATATTTAATCTTAGTTAACATTCCAATGAGGATATTTTTTTGCACCAATTGTCTCAATGAGAACTAGAACTGTCATCCGGAGGATAAGTAATACCCCCGCAGATGCTTGTAGTTTATACCGGACAAGTTTTTTCGCATAAAGGGCTGTAACTTCCTTAAAAAGTGTTGAAATCTGAAATTAAAATGCTAGTGCACAACTACATAATATACTGATCATTCAAGTGAAGTTTCAATAAAATCTGTCTGCTAGTTCAGATGAAATTTTCCCAGACAAGGTATTTCGCATAAAGGGCCATTTCTCCCTTAAAAAGTTTTGAAATCTGAAATTGAAATGCTGGTGCACAACTACATAATATACTGATCAATCAAGAGAAGTTTCAATAAAATCTGCCTGCTAGTTAAGATGGAGTTTTCCGGACAAGGTATTTTGCATAAAGGGCCATAACTCCCTTAAAAATTTTTGAAATCTGAAATTAAAATGCTGATGCACAACTACATAATATACTGATCATTCAAGTTGCGGGGGTATGATAAAACAAGCATTTCCACATCATGAAAATTTACACTCCAGGAATATCACATAAGTTGTCTATTTTTGAACATGTGAGCCAAAATGTACAAATGCATAACCTACCGTCCAGAATATGTCGTTGCCCTCCATGTCGTAACCCTGAAGTGTACAGTTTCCTCCAACAATGGCCATGGGATCGGGTATGGTGCCAAGCCGGCCAACAACAAGACAGTTTGAGCCGTCAGCTGTCTGTAACAAAAAAACATCCCATGTATCAACCATACATGAAATACCATAATGATAAACTATACAGCAATCTTGAAACAGGGCTTTTGCCAGCTATTTTGGGAAAGGGCCCCTGAGCAGGAATTGGGAAAATATCATCAGTGTTCCCACATGCATAGGTTCGAGAAAATATCATAAGTTTTGAGAAATAAAACATACAATGTGATTTGCAAAAGGTTTTCCTCAGGCTGTTTCTTACAGTAAAATGTATAGCAATAAGTTAACACATCAATTTTCTGTGTTTTTGGTTAGTCAATTTCAAATTTCCGTTATTTATGTATTTTGAATGCTCTTTCATGGACGGTAATACTTTGAAAGTTGCACATACAATGACTGGAAACTTGTATAAACATGTGTTTTTTTTATTATCTAATTGGGAAAATAAAGACTGAAATTCGGAAAATACAGGGTCATTTTTCAATTGTGAAAGGGTTCCCGTACCGGACCCTATAAACACCTGGCAAAAACCCTGTGAAATGTCTCAGAATTACATACATTGACCACTGTTTGACAATTAACACCATAAATTGGCAAAATATCAAAAGCATAGTTTGAACAGCTGTTTAATACTATGAATTAATTGATTTTATAGCTAAAAAAAAAATATCTGCTGATTTCAGAAGTGAAAAGGTGGGAGACTGTCTATAGAGCAGAGAGACTTAGCAAAAACATATATAGAGTTCATGTTACAATTTTAAGATTTTTGGGGGAATTCACTTTATTATAAAAGTGTGTCACAAATTCAACCTATCTGATTGTCAATTTTTTTTTAAATCTAAATTTTAAAATAGCCTGGTTTCTTCATTAATTGGGAAAATATGGTTTTGTTTTTCATTGAAATCCAATTCAACATCACTTTTGGTAGGGGAAGCAGACTGCTTTCAGTTGTAAAACTAGGCAAACATATTACTGCGGTCTTATTCATACTTACATCTTTGTAGAAGAGATCACTGTTATTTTCAACATCATAAGCCAGTATGTTTGTTTGTGTCCCCACTGTCAGGATATCGTTCTCCTTTTCAGGGTTCAGCTGGCCGGCCGACACCGCTGACACCTGCTGGTTGACACTTAAAAGGTTGAGATCTCCGTCTGATGTGATGTCCATCCGACCTCCTTTCATCCCCCTATTGTGGGGGTTATGTATCAGTACCTGAAAAAGTCAACATTTTTTTCCGGTTTAAATATTAACTATCGACATTCTTGGAGCATGACATCTTCATCTCCAGGGTCTGGGATTGAAAATACCCGGTATGATGTTTGGAAAATGTATCACTGATTTTTTTTTCAGCAGTTATATGTCTTATCAGCTTGGAAAGAAAGACAATTTAAAAATGAACATTTTACATTGTCGTAAACAGTTTGTTTGTGCTCTATGTCCTATCAACAGCTATGGTCATTTAGGCCGTGCCCAGTTTGTGGTGGTTTAGAAAAACTGGAATACCTGGAGAAATATCAACGACCTGCAGCCAGTATCTGGCACCTGCTCCACATAGACCTCAAACCTGTGGCACAGTGGTTAAGGTGACCGTCTACAATCACTAACCCTCTAACCCCTATCATTACTAGTATGTCACAGGTTTGTGGTCTACGTGGGGCAGTCTCCAGATACTCAAACCTGTGACACAGTGGTTAAGGTGACCGTCTAAAATCACTAACCACTATCATTACTAGTATGTCACAGGTTTGTGGTCTACGTGGGGCAGTGGCCAGATACTCAAACCTGTGACACAGTGGTTAAGGTGACCGTCTACAATCACTAGCCCTCTAACCACTATCATTACTAGTATGTCACAGGTTTGAGATCTACATGGGGCAGTGGCCAGATACTCAAACCTGTGGCACAGTGGTTAAGGTGACTGTCTACAATCACTAGGCCTCTAACCTCTATCATTAAGAACTAGTATGTCACAGGTTTGTGGTCTACGTGGGGCAGTCGCCAGATACTCAAACCTGTGACACAGTGGTTAAGGTGACAGTCTAAGATCACTAGCACAGGTTTGAGGTCTACGTGGGGCAGTCGCCAGATACTCAAACCTGTGACACAGTGGTAGAAGGCTAGTGATCGTAGACGGTCACCTTAACCACTCCGCTACGACTCATGAACAGTTATGATGTTACATTTTATGTTATGGGCGGATTGGTCAAGTCTGGGGTGGATGTTGCGGTAACTGTGCAGTTGCATTCAAGCGAGTTGGCACTATTAATGATGCTGTTGGAAGCATGCTGCAAACAGAACATATTACATCTCCAGCACAGACAAAGGCATACACACATAGGGAGATATTAGCCAGGTGGCATAGGACTAGTAGTTAGCGCCTGATAAGGCAGCTCCTGCGAATTCCTCAAAATTGTATTGATTACTGTATATGCTAATAGTATCGATTGAAAAAATTTGGATATCTATGTATTGTAAAGCGCTATAGAGTGCCGTAGGTTAGCTAGACAGGGCGCTATATCAAATGCTGTATATTATTATTATTTTTTATTAATTTGAACTCACTACCTCAATCCTTGATAATGAGGGTTTGGGGAGTACTTTTACATAATGCCAGCTTTGATGCTTTACCTTTCCAGCTGTTGTAGCACATGTGAGAGAGGAATGGATTCCGTCATACTTTCCAATGGTGACCATACGCGGGTTAACCTTGTGGTTGATCTTAAGGTTGAAAATTGGCACCAACATCTTGGATATCTGGAGATTTTCTGGGGGGGAAAAAGAAGAAAAATGAACATTTCCAAATTTTCTTATTTATATATTTTCATCGCCATGCTAATTTGAACATATTTCAACTGTGAGAAATATTGACAAAATGAGATCAGCAATGTTTAATGTTGAAATAAAAGCTATTCAGAGATGATCACAGATAGATATATAGTCACCATAAAATAAGATTTCAGATTGCATTAACCAATTTTTAGACAAGATTGCAATTGGTTGTCATCTTGTTTTCGGTTACACTGAAATCAATGCTTATAGATTTTACATGCTTTTCAAACAATTTACATCAACTTTTTAAAATCACTTTTGTTTGCCTGCATAGACTTACAGAGGGTGTATCAGACTGATGGAAAAAACGGGAAAACCTGGAGAAAACCCATGTGGTTGCCGGTCCGACAGGTGACCTATACCATTTTTAATGTCCGACCAGGGAATTAAATCCTGGCAACCTTTGTGAATGATAAGTGCATTATCCAGTGTAACCCTACCACACTGAGACATGATTAACTCATTCACCCCTGGAATTTCATAATGAACTATTCCAACCTTTGTATTGGAAGAGTTCAAATGTGTCTTCAGGGGTGAATGAGTTAAGGACTAACATCCTGTACGTATATATACTTAAATACATGAGGAACATCACAAACTGTCAACCATGACCTACTATGTTATTGTATCGGTTGTAAACAATACAGTCATTAATTAACATTCTTTTAAAGCCACATTACTGCATTTTAGTTTAATAATGAAAAATGCACCCGTGTGTTGCATTCTTGTCCGCAGAACTTGAAATGCGAATGTGTTGCCACTATATCTATTGTAGAACTCTTTTGTGTGAGAGAGATCTAGAGCTGAGAAGTCATCGATCGTTGCATATCACCGGGGTGTTTGTAACAATGGCGGATGCAGAAGAAATTTGTAAACAACTACCGCCGGCATCTTATCGATCAGGTGTGTGGGCCAAGTTTTTTTTTATTGATTTGATATTCATTAATAAAGAATTAAAGATGTGTCGTGTTGTGTATCGTATTGTAAGTGGTGTATCTCAAGAACGTATCCAATTGTGGCTGATATGCAGTGTAAATAAGAGGCCTAAATAGCAGAGTAAGAACAGGATCTACAAAATACATCAGCCAGCCCCCC